GCCCCTGTTGGGTTAAGACGGAGGAAAGAAGAATGCAGGGACAAGGTTGGGTTATTTAAGACCTGTTTTCAGGTGAACCAGGGCTATTGCCTTGCAGCAGTACACTCAGCAGGCTGCTGCCACATCCCGCAGTCCCAAAGGCTGCTTGAGCTCTTCCAGCTGTTGACACCCCATTTGAAGAGGCAAATGGAAGGTGGGTTATGCAACCGTCATGTCAGTATTAGCTACTAATATAAGTATTAAGAAAACACGACTTTTTGCCATAAAATATTTAGGACAGAACATATACATATGTATTAGCTTTAATCAAACTGAATGAGAAAGTTGTTCTGACTTCAGCTTTTGGAAACCAAAACAAATTTGGCCTGACAGCTGCTACCTGCTTTTTTAGCAGAAAGAAAACAAGAAGCATGGGGAAAAATAAACATTGCACAGGACATCCTTTGGGAGCCAGTACCAGATACAGGCTCAGGATGCCAACAGGAATAAAGTCAGCACTGCCAGGTGTGGCTGCTCACAGCCCTGAGCAACTGACCAGGGAATGGGACTGGAGCACCACAAAGGGTCTCCTTCAACCTCAATTACTCTGTAGGAAAGGAATCAGAAAATAGCTGTATACTCTGCTAGCTAATAGTGTGCTTTTTGTTGGTAAATATTGTACATGTGTATGTCTATCAGTGTACATACTGAATGGACTCTGACATATCTACATAAGATCATACAAGAGAGTCAATCATCCTTATGCCTCTATTTGTGCTGCCAAGCTCAGACAACACATCTGGGAGTGGAACTCCTTTTGTACTCCCACCCCAAAATAAAACCTGCCTGTGGAACCTCAGTGTCCTACAGACACAAACTGGGGCAGGAAGTGCAGTGCCTCCAGGAAAAAGCCAGGTGAGAGCTGGTGTCTGTGAAGCACAATCCCTACAAAGTAAGACCTGCGTGAGTTAGGCCATGCCCTACTTACTCAGGGCTGTGCTATGTATCATAATCTGGTTCAACACAGTCAAGAATTTCTCACTTTTCACAGCATCATTAGAATCACTGTGGTTGGAAACCAGTGAGATCACCAAGTCCAACCATTGACCCATCACCACCATGCCCACCATGCCCATTTTAGGGTCTTACAAACATTCCCCTACAGTCTATGAGCCTTGAATCCTCAACCAGTCACCGACACAAGAGTGCACTGCAGAGCAAGGCTCAGGCTCATTACAGGGTTATTAACTCCCATGGCTAATGGAACCTCCATCAATGGCTGTATCAGAGCTGCAGGGAGCTGCTCAGCCTGGCTCCTGCACCAGGGCCCCATGCTCTGGCCCTCAGGTTGGGCTTGGCTTGCCTCTTTAATTCATCTTTTGTTTGTGTTTTCCATTGGGATCACACACTCCCCTCATTCTCCTTTAACCCACACGGTGTATTTTTTGGAACTGTAGCATAAAGCAAAGAGAACAGTGATCTCCACAGAGAGCAGCAGAGTTTGTACATCCTGCTGACCCTCCTGAAGGGCAAGCAGAAATGCACTCACATTATACGGTTGTGCAATTGTATTCCCCACAAGTAAACCAAAGTACTCATTCTTACAACTACAAAAGGTAATCCCTCTCATTTCAAGCTGAGTGAAAGGATGGAAACCAGATCCCCGTTCCACAGACATTAATCAACTTCAGACTAAATTTAGTGATGTTAACAGTCAGCTTTGGCTTTCATAATCACTCAAATGGCTTCTGCTGCACTTACTTGATCCTGAGCTTTTTGTACACAATTCAGCAGTATTTTATAGTCCATAAAGACTGAGAAGCTTCATGTTCTGAACAGGGAAGGAACCACACTATTAATATTACTGTTCGTTACTTTTTTCAACTCAGTCAAATTGAAATTACGTGCACAAAACTTCAGGATGACATCAGGCACGTGAACAACCACGTTTAGTATTTTGATCAGTCACAGAAGAAAGCAAATCACGAGCTTGTCTGTATAAGCTGCCTGGCTGCTGACAACATCTGTCAGAAATAAGGCTGAGAAATAACGAGGTCTGGTTCATGAATGAAGTGTGTGTCAAGGTAAGAGAGCATCCCCTCGGCATTATAAACAGCACTTTGATGCAACTTTCATAAACAGTTTAATTTTTCTCTTTTATCTTGTCTCACACACTCCTCTCCTTCAGCAGCACTCGCAGAGGAGTCGGTGGCTGCGAAGGTGCTCCCTGAAGGCAGCAGGGGGGTCCTGCCCACCTGGAGGGAGGAGAGGGGGACACCCAAGATCCCCACCTCACCATGCCCACTGACCACATCCCTCAGTGCCACATCTCCACAGCAGCCTTGTCCGGCCTCATGGTGTATAAAGGAGCAGCCAGGAGATGCTTCTGCTGTTGCCCTGCGTACACCATGGTACATTCCAACATAAACAGTCACTGCCCTCTACTGTTACTCACAACAAATGGTCCAGGACAAAATTACCTTCTTCTTCCCCATAAAATCACAGAATCACAGAATCACCGAGGTTGGAAAAGTCCTGCAAGATCATTCAGCCCAATCATCCACCTACCACCAATACTTCCCCGTTAGGGCACATCCCTCAGTGCCACATCTCCACGTTGTTTCTGAACACCCCCAGGTGACTCCACCACCTCCCTGAGCAGCCCGTTCCAGCCCATCACCACTCTTAAACTAACATACTAATCCCTACTTCTAAACAAACCAACCTGTACCATAACCCCAGTTATTAGTTTCACAGTGTGAGTGGCATTGATACTGAAAGGCTTCAACAATTTAGTTAGCATTTACAGAATAGACCTCTTGATGCTCCAGACAGACAGGACCCTGGGCGACTTGTTCTAGTAACAGATCTGCAGGTTGGTGGCCTTGCCTGTGGCAGGGGGCTGGAATGATCCATGGGGTCCATTCAAACTCAAGCCATTCTATAATTCTATGGTTCTTTCAGAAGTTTTTCCTAACAGCCAACCTGAAATTCCTTCCTCTCCAACCACATGTTGGACAGGGAGGGCAGCACATACCAAACCACATGCTGGTGCCTGGCTCTTGCACTCAAGCATCTCGTTAAGTATCTGTCTGTGGGGAAAGTATTTCTTACTTACAGCTCCCAGAGAACTCTATTCTGCTATTAATTACAAATATAAATAAGTAATGCGCTGCCGTGCTTCTCTGTATTTTCTATTTTTTAATTTGGATTTGAAACATTGAAAAATTAAAAAGTTTTACATGCAAAGCTACCTGGATATTTAATCCTCTTTGCAGGTTGGTGTATAGGTTTCACACCTTGAGGCGCTGGCACGTAATTAACATGCCCTTCTGCCATCACAGTTCTGTGTTAGAAAGGATTCTGGAACTTATCAGAAAACACCTCCTCTAATTTTGGTATGCAAAATTCTGATTACAGTATGAATTTTTTATTTCTTAATTCTTTACCTTTTTTTTTTTTCCACCCCCCGGGTACTGAAGCATAATTAATTCTGCTTTACTTCTTCTAATAGATTTATGTGTATTACCATATATATTAAATTTTCACTTCTATAACTTTCTTTTTTTCAGTTTTGTTGCTTCCCACACTGACGGCGTTCACTTCATTAGAAACATGTAATCCCTGAGCTGCGATCAAGACATAATTGCACATTTTTGTATTCTAATAACACACACATTCCTCATATTTTATCAGTGCAATTCCTAGCTATGCCTATACAACCTGGAGGAACCTTCTCTCCTGAAATGCTTAGTAGAACGGGGCAATTTTGTTCAATGGAAATGGAAGAAAGTAGTAGAGTCCAGAAGTTTATCCCCCTTACAGCCTTTTGATGTTCTGTTTTGGGGGATGATATACCACAGAAACTGTTGCAAGCAGTTACCTTCTACTTGTAATAAGCTGTCAGAAATAACAGGGAAAAGCTGGAGTAGTCACTTCAAATCCCTTGGTAGGACATCAGCTCTCACTGAAAAACCTGAGATCAAATCAGAGATGTGTCTGGTGACAGAAACAACGAAACTTGGAGCCCACACATGTTGTTGACCCCTGCCTTTGGGAAGTGAGCAGGTTTCCAGCCAAGGAATGCTGCGTGCAGCTGGCTCTCCTCCTGTGCCATCCCAATAATGCAATGATGTAATGAATTCAGCCTCCTGGCCTGCAACCACCACAGTATCCACTCCACGTGGGATGGGTGAGACTGGAGCACATCCTCTTGGATGTAGGAACACCTCTGAGTGTCACAGAGCCGTAGCATGGTTGGGTGGGAAGGGCCCTTACAGCCCACAGTCCTACTCTTGCTCTGGGCTGAGTGCCCCCCAGCTCAGGCTGCTCAGGGCTCCATCCACAGCCTCGGGCACCTCCAGGGATGGGGCACCCACAGCTCTGGGCAGTGCCAGGGCCTCAATACCTCTGGGTAAAGAATTTTCTCCTCACATCCAACCTAAACCTTCCCTCTTTTAGTTCAAAATCATTCCCCCTTGTCCTATGGCTATTGATTGGACCAGAGGAAACGGCCTCATGTTGTACTAGGGGAGGTTCAGGTTGGGCATTAGGAAAAATTTCTTCTCCAAGAGAGTATTTAGGTGCAGGAATGACCTGCACAGGGTGGTTGAGTCACCATCCCTGGAGGTGTTCAAGAACCAAGGAGATGCAGTACTAAGGGACATGGTTTAATGGGGAAATACTGGTGGTAGGTGGATGGTTGGACCGGATGCTCTTGGAGGTCTTTTCCAACCTTAGTGATTCTATGATTCTACCTGTCTCCTGCTTATAAGCTCCCTTTATACAAAGGAGCGTTGCTATATATGGAAAAGAAAAAAAAAGGTTTGTATTCCAATAGTGCACTGACAGGCTCTGTTTTGCACTCACATTCAGTAGGAAGCCTGGCCACCCACTAGAAGGTTCAGAATATTGCCAGTGGAGTGGATATCTGTCCTAATGCACAACATGCCCTATGCTTTCTGAACAGTCTGCTCCCTTCACGTGGAAAACAGTCTGCCTCTTAATCAGCATTCCAAAAACAAAAATGACACATGTATACATATTTATGCAACTCAAGCAGTTGTTATGTGATGTGCTGTACAGGCAGACAGCTCAGCACATCACTACACCCAAGACAACCCACTCTACAAAGGGCTGATAGCAGCAGAGCATCCTGAGCCCATAGCACAAACCACGCCTGCCGGTGGTGTTTCATTTAAAGTCAGTAATTCTAATCTGTGTTCCTGCAAAAGCATAGATAAACACCAACACTCTGTTAGAGCAATATTGATGGTTTGCTTGTTTGCTTGGGAAATCCCTGAAATCACAAAGTCAATTGTATAAACCCACAACCAGCAAACCAGATACCGTGTGGCACAGAGAAAAGAGAAGGGGCTTGGAGCTCAAACTGGAGGAGCTCCTTGGGCTCCCCCCGGCTGCCAGAACTCCACTGTGTTTCATGATGTGAAAGAGAACAAACCATGGACACAGGAATACCTCCACACACACAGTTAGCTAGCACAAACATCTTGGGCTGCATTCAGTGTATTTATTTCCATCTGCTAAAGCCAACGCTCCATATCTCTGGGCTGGATTCCTATGGTGTCCCAGCTGCCAACTGGGTTCTGCAGCCCCATGGATGGGGGATGGCCCCAGCTGCAGCAGTGACAAGTGCCACCTGTCTCCCCAGGAGTGGCACTGTGCCTGACAGGTACAGATCCTCACCCTGCTGCTGTCAGGTCTTAAATCACAGGTAAGGGACAAAGGACCTCACGGTGGGCTCCAGCTGCTGGGTGATGGCACGCCAGTCCCATCCCCTAGTTGCTCCTATGTAAGCTGTCACGCTGTGATGCAGTCAGGGCAACAAACCCAGGCCCTACACAAGGTCTAATGTGCTCCCAGCAGAAAGGCGAGGAACCATGGCTCCCTGTAACAGGATAAGTGAGGATAAGACTCAGTACTCTTCAGCAGAAAGAGCTCTTTATATCTGAGGACTTAAACATTATTATTAAATAGAGCACTGTGTAGCTAAAAGGGTTCACTGAATACATACCAACCAAGTTGTTCCCAATGACATCACAAAAAACCCCTACTGCAGAACCAGTCATTGTCAAGACAGCCAAACTCCTCTTCTTTGTCCTTGGACAAGAGTTAGGCAGTACAACGCCATCCCATCTCAACGTGGGTCAGCCTCAATTCCACACACATAAGGCAGAAGCCACAGAGGAACACTTGAGCAGCAGATGAAAGTTCCACACTGGTTTTACAACAGGCTGGCTTTGTTCAGCCACAAAGCATCAATGCTGCACCCCATGGGAAGCCAAAAGTTGCAGCAGGGAAGGCTCAGACCTGGAGGGAAAGGTGGAAATGTAGGCATGCTGATAAAATACCTTGTGGGCTGATAAGCCAACCTTACCTTCTTCAGGTTCAGTCTTTGCTTAGAAACCAGGTCACAGTTCAAGCAAACTTTAAATAAGACAGTATTAATGTGGTGCATACTGAAAGATCCCACCCAAAAGTCATCCTGCTCATTATGACACATAGGAAAGGTGAATAGTGCCCAAGCATGGAGGCAAAGGAACAAAGAATCCAACACCAAACCCCTGCCAGCCCTTCTTTCTGCCCCATTCCCACCTGCAGCCATCCCTGAGACAGAGCCCACACAAATGGCTAATTATTATCATTGGTCACAGTGAATGAGGACACGCTTCAGCCTGACACCTTCAAAGCAAATCCCAGCACAAAGTGAAGAGAGGAGGTGGTACCTAAGTAAGGCTAACACCACAAACCCTATTTTTCAACAGGATTGTTTCATGCACTTTTATCTGTAGTTCATTGCTTTGTTGACAACTAGCAACGGACAGCTAAGTGCCATTTCTGCAATAATAAAACACTGGAAGATAAAAGGTAGTATGAACACAGGTTAAATTAAATTTACAAATGAGATTCATATGGGAAAACCACAGCAGCTCGGCTGGGCAGCAAGACCAGGGCATACAGACCCATGCCACATCCCACACAGGCACAGAAGTGCAGGAGGAAGAGAGCATGTCCCCTGGCTCCATGCATAGGTGGGCTCCAAGGACACTTGAAACACCTCTATTCCTTGTGACTGTGATTAGCCCATGGTCACCTACAGTGACAAGGTCAGAAATTCCATCATGGGCACTAATAAGCACTGCGCAAGGGGCTGAAGCCACAAGCTCCTCCAGATTGTTTTTGCCCAGAAAGGCTAATTAAAAGCTAACAATAGTTCTGTAATTAACTGCTCAACATTTGAAATATAATTTGAGGGTTAAGTGGTTTTATTACGTTAGATCAAGATATTACCAAAAGAGCCTCAAAAGCAGCGTGCAGGTTTACACAGCCCTCAATCCCAAAGAGAATCAGAATAGGATTATAACAGATTTCACTGGCATGCTTCCCCTCTGGGTCCACTTTTAACCTCCCGTGCTGAATATAATGCTTTAGGTGAGGGATGTGGTCAGCATATACGGTGGGGATGGACTGGGGCAGGGGTCATGGAGCTCTTCTTCAACCACCTCTGATCAATGTTGGTATCATGATTTTATTTCACTATCATTATCACAGTGGCAGCAGCACTTGTGAGGCCATCCTCCAACACTTGCCAGCTTTGCAAAACAGCATCTGTACAGGGTAAGCTTTTCCTCTCTCAGCTTTTAGTTATGCCTTCATTCTACCCAATTGCTATTAGCAGTTTCTGAGTTGTTCTATATTAAACAATAATAATATTGCTAGACAAGCCCATCCATCCGCCCCAATGCACTTCTGGGCAGGTCTACTACAATGCCCTAAGTCCAACTGAAAACACTCCAACCATTCAGATTCTTCCAATTCTGCTATAAGCAGCCCCATCTAATGAACATATGAAAAATCTAATGAACTTGTGTTAAACACAGAGCAGGTAGCTGGTTAATGAAAGCAAGGTGTATTTCACGGCGCATGGCAGGATGTTGGCTGCAGGAAACAGGATGCTGAGCTCCAGGAATTAATGGAGCTTGGAGGGAGCAATCCATAAAAGCTGACTGACAGACCGAGATACACCTTATTTATTAGCAGGATCTATACAGGAAGGGAGGCTGGCACCTGATGGAGAGCTTCATTAAAACGTGGTGTCAGTCTTACATTATCTAAATTACGCCTAGATCCATACTTAATTGCATTGGATTAGCCCAAACAGGAGTCCCCTCTCAGGAAATAATGAGCTTCATACCTGACACTGAAAGAGACGAGGATGAATTTGAGTGCTTTGACTCTTAATCAGGCAATTATATTTTCTTCTTGCTCCAGAATTAATTAAAAGAAGAAAACAGCTACAACACTAAGATACTTCTAGAAGAAAAACACACATGACCACTTGTAAAAAGCCAAGTGAACCATACAAAGAGAACAGTAGGGAGCCCAGCCATCTCCTCTCCCATAGAGATGGAAATCAGACACAGCTCACCTGTTCTTAAGAGGTGAGGCAGATAGCCTTGCAAAATTAAACATTTTTTACTTGCATTCCTTATAAAAGAAAGCTGCACTGAGCTCACCTTGACCACAGAGCCCCTTGGAGTGGGTGGATCCTGTGTGAGATCACCCTGCGTGGAGCTGCTGGTGGGCCAGACCAGATCCCACCATCCCACACTGCATCCCACAGCACCAAGAGGAGCTGAAGGCATGGCCCTGACAGCCACCAACCCCTGCACAGCCTCCTACCTTCTCACAGGAGGACCAAGAAGGAGACCTGCAAGCACCAACAGACTCCTTCCAGGCTCACTCCCAAGCAGCAACGACACTCAGGCAGTAACCCAGCCACCCAAAAGCCCTGGCTGGGTTCTTGCTGGAGGAACCCACCTTGATGAGCTACAGCTGAGGGAGGCTTTCACCTGGTGTTACAATGCTGCCCATGGTTGCTTTGTGCCACAGCTTTCTCCAATCACCAACTAATGAAAAAAGCCTCAGAGGAGTAACCCCGACAGCACCGAGATTTGTAGAGCATTTCAACCACCCTGAGATAATTAAGAATTTGTTCGCTGAAGAAAACTGGAAACCTAAAAATCGCAGCAGCTGAACAAATTATTCCAAATGCTGCCTCATTTATTTCATGGTGATGTAGATTTGCAGAAAATTAACATAAGATGCAAGTTCAGTAGCTTATGTTGAGCTGAGAAATGCAATAAACCCAAGAACTGTGCCATGGATCTCCTGAAGTATCTTTCCATAGACCACAGCACCTCTATTCCTGATGTAAGCCAACACTAAATGAAATTCTGTTGGTTTTTGGCCAACCTCCTGAAAATCTTCCTATACTCAACTCACTGTAATTAAAGCATAGTTTTGGTAGCAATTGAACCCAGTGTCGATTCAGTCTGCAGTTGTCATTTCGAGCCCCTCTGCGATGGACCAAAGCACATCTGGTTACATTGTGGCTTTGGGTGACAAGCCCTCTCCCTCTGAAAATAGCAGGAAACATGTAATGGTTTCCAAGAAAACCCAACCCCATCCTTCAGAATCACAGAGTCACACAATGGTTTGGGTTGGAAGGGAGCTTTAAGACCATCCAGTTCCAACCTCCTGCTATAGCAGGGACACCTTCCTCTACAGCAGGTTGCTCACAGCCCCATCCTGCAGGCCTTGAGTGCTTCCAGGGAAAGGCACCCACTGCTTCTCTGGGCAATTTGTTCCCGTGTCTCACCACCCTCACAGTGAACAATTTCTTCCTAATATCTAGTCTAAATAACCACTTTGAAATGCCTTGTAAAGGGGAACACTCTATTCGTTGTTTAAATCAATAGTAGCTTGATTTCTTTTGTAAGGATACTTAAAAAGATTCTCCTTCTGAGCCACTGGAACTTCTACCCACATATTGGTACACAACTTTTTGTGCACGTTAAAACACAAAACTCCCTAGAAAGGTTCAGCATCATGGTTTGCCACAGACTCCTCCTCAGCCCATCCACCAGCTCCAGGCAGTTTCAAGTGCTCCTGACATTATGCTGCTGCTGATTTCCCTCATTGCACTTTCAGGTCAAGGCACACAAGAGTCTATCAAAAGCAGATGTAATTAGCACTCCGCAGAGTGCTGCAGGGTCACACAACCCCTGGCCCCCGACCCCCTCTGCACGTCGCCATCCCACCAGAGCCCATTTTGCATGCTCACCCCATGCTCCTCACGCTCCTCTTGACCCCAACATGCCCACCAATGGGGATGCTTTCATGGTGTGCCACGGATGCTTCCCAGCACTGCACAGCTATGGCCTGTGGGAGGCAGCTGCAGCCCCACAGCTCAGCACAGGGAATGGCTGGATGTGCAGAATGAGGAAGGAGCAGGAGGGGCAGAAGGCAGAAGCCAACCTCTTCCCAGCCAATCTCTTCTTCTTCAGGGGCAATTTTCAGGGGCTGTTTATGAGGATGGGTAGTGATAGCACAAGGGGAATGGTTTTAAACTGAAACAGGGGAGGTTTGGGTTGGATAGGAGGAGGAAGTTTTTCAGCCAGAGGGTGGTGAGGCACTGGCACAGGTTGCCCAAGGAGGCTGTGGATGCCCCATCCCTGCAGGCATTCAAGGCCAGGCTGGATGTGGCTCTGGGCAGCCTGGGCTGCTGGTTGGCGACCTGCACACAGCAGGGGGTTGGAACTGGATGAGCACTGTGCTCCTTTGAACCCAGGCCATTCTAGGATTCTATGATTCTCAACAGGGCAGCGCTGGAATAATCCCACCAACAAACACGCAATCAAAAGAAGTACAGACCCACACACCTGCCCCCCTGCCTGGGGTCCTTACAAAGATTGCAGAGGTGATTCTCCCTGCTGTACAATTAGCTCCTTCACACACATCTCCCCTAGGTGTTTGCAAATCCTCAGATAAACCCTCTACAGCGCAAACAAGCAAAGAAAAAGAGATAATGCTCCTGGTGACCAGCTAAATCCTTACAGTACTCTTGGGGAAAAGAACTGCACAATGACTGTCAGGCAGACACTTGAGCTTCTTTATTCAATGCGAGTAAATAATCTAATGAATAAATCTAGTTTCACAAAGTAGAATTCCCTGGGGTTTTCAGGCATCAATTAAACACTACAAAGAATCAAAATGACCAATCGAGTTCTTGAAGTGAAACCCTGAGAAATTCTACACCTACTGAAAAGAGCCCTGAGCGACTTGATGCTGGAGAAACTGAAATTAGCCATCAAAATCCATAGTGACTGCCTGAACGAGGGTAAGGTCAGCTCCTTCAGTAATTTACTCATCAACATTCATCTGCAGGGCCCAGTCTGGAGTGCCCAGGCTGCACAATAACCCTCTCCTGTCCCATTCCTACCCAATTCTAGAGATGCTTTGGGTGGTTTCCACAGACTCAGGCAGCTATTGGGACAGAATCACAGAATGGCCAGGGTTGGAAGGAACCTCAAGGATCATGAATTTCCAGCCCCTCTGCCACAAGTAGTGCCACTAACCTCCATATTTAATACTTGATCAGGCTGCCCAAGGCCCCATGCAACCTGACAGATATTGTGCCTGGGTGTATATATCCTCAATAAGTGCACCAGGAGAGCCTTTGGAATACTTTACTTATTTACTGATGAAAGAAAAAGTTTTCACTGCTAATCCTCTGAGGACCTCTCTAGCACATAGGGCTAGCAGTGCTGGCACAGAGTACAGCATAAAGCTGCCATCATTTTGCTCCTAATAATCAAACACAAAGTCCTGTCATGTAGCCTTCATATTAAAAAGAGGAAAACTAATTGCAGCCCTGTATTTTCATTATAAAAACATAATCTCCAAGCAATATTCGGAGGAGAAGATGCATCATTTCCAGAGGAGGACAGGGCTGCTCTGATGGCAAACCAGTGTTGGTTCCATAGTCATGAAAATCACAGACAGGAGCAACAACTAATCAGATGTACCCAGATTTTAAAAGCAAAGTGCCAAATCCACATGTATTGGTATTCACTTACATCACGCATCAAAAAAACGTTGCACAGGAGCACAAACTTAAGGCTGTTTCTATAGGAACCCAAAGGAAAAAAAATGCAGAGCACCAGCTCCATCTCTTTCCTTCCCTCCTCAGCCTGTTGGTGATTTTACACTGAGACTGAAGGTGTTCCCCAAAATGGCCTGTCATAATTCCTTATTTGTGCAGGACTGGAGCAGTGGGGTCCTCATTCATCACTTACCAGTTGGCCTTCCAAAGAGCATTCACAGATTGTGGCTCCACCAGGGATTCCATGAGCATTTCTACGGCTAACTGAAGTATACAACAGCACTGCTGCAGAACAAACTCAGCCCAAGGCAGCAGAATTTGCAGCCTACAACAGACCAGGTACAACGATACCAAAAACACCTTCCCAAAAGACAACAAAGAGCACAGTTGAGATGCTGCAGAGAGGAGGAGTACAGCATAAACAGGTTAAAAATGAGCTTCTGATGCACCACTGAAAAGCAAGGATTAAAATTCTCAAACAAATTGGTTGTGAAGAAAGACACGTCACTGTGTCACCTGGGTGAGGGACATAAATCTGGTCATGCTCGCATTCACTGTGTGAGATCAGGAACCTGGCTGTGATACTGAGGTTCCCAAAGCACATCCCTCTGTTCACTTTAATCCATCAGAATCACTGTTTGGGCTATCACATTCCTCTGAGCAATGGTTGGAGGCTGCCAGAGTGCACTTAAAAGAGCTGTCACTAGCACAGAGGGCCAGGAGGCACAGAGGATACGGAAACATGTTCAGACATCAAGGGCCAGAGAGCACAAGTGATGGAGCACAACGTCCATTGCTCCCCAGCAGGAAAAAGGTTTTGTTGCATGGTACATGGGATATTCCTCCAGGCTGGAGAGGCATGGGGTCTGTCCCAGCATAAGGAAGCTATGGAATTGAGCACACATCCTCCCAGCTCTGCACTGTGTGCTCAGACCACCCCCACCTGCATGATGGACCAGCAGTCCTCTTATGGCTCTGCCCATGCTTCCAAGTGGAAAACCAGCATGCATACAGAAGTCCAAGAGCTGGTCTGCCTGCATGAGTAGTTCCAATAAGTAACGTACTGCAAGAGTGAAGTCTAGCAGGCTGCAATGTTTAATTTATTAACCTGGTTTCCACTGGGAGCTGATATGAAACCAGTGACTGCTTGATTCATTTTGCCTGTTCCTATCGGTCCACCAGCATGCGGTGCAGAATTTCAGGCAGTATGAAGAAGTGATGCTAATTACTGGCACTGTGAACCTGCAGTCTGTGCCAGTGCTCTGCCTTCCCATGGGGCCCAGCCCCAGAGAGCTCATCCACCACTACACATCCACCATTCGCAGCCCTTGCAGGGATGCAGTGGGGATGCAGGGCAAGGGTTTGCCAGCAGCACACTGGTGCCAAGCAGTAGGGAAGCCCACATTGAGGGTAATACTGGCATTCAGAGAGGGGTTTCTGCTCCCCCTGGTATGAGTTATAGGAGTAATTAAGCTGAGTGCTCCGTCAACAAAAAGCTCTGGGCACATAAAACAAAAAGCCCCATAGCACAGCACAGCACGGTGGGTGCACAGAGCTGCAGTACAAAAGGCATCTGAAGGCCCTCCTGCAGCTGAGCAGGGCTTGCAGGACTCACTAACCTATTTCTTCTCACTTTCTTGGCCAGAATCCACAAGACACATGCATCACAGCAACAGCTTTCCTACACGTTTCTTGCCACTGAAAAAGCCTATTTATTAAGAAAGAAACTCTCAAATCATCTTCTAAAGGCAAATACTAGCAAAACAACAATTACCTGAAGTTGCTGATGCCATCTCCTATAATCTTCTCTCTCTTCACTTCAAAAGAACCATTTTCCCTCAATGACAATTAAATTCCCAGTACTGCCTAGTGCAGATGTAAGGGT